AGCTGAAACGATGGAATCTTGCGTCCCGACGCCCATTGTCGTTTACGAATCCCCACGACACCCTACGTCAAGCAAATCGTGGCAAAATCGGGCTAAAATCATGTAGTCTGAACCGGGCATTAGTTAGTCTGTAATGTTGCTGTTTGAGCATAAACATATCTGCAAAGTTACAAAGTTCAAATTCCACTTCAAAAGGAGATATTTTATTTAACAGAAATAACTTTTCAAAAGCTACAATGAACGACTCGTTTGGACTACAGCGCATATTTTCCAGGATTTGTGATATCACAAATATTGACGAATGGGATGAGACCTGGTTGAGCTGCACTAGAGAAGGCAACGAGTGTTATCACTATGTCGGAGACACGCTAGCTTTCCCAAAGCAGACGAACTTAGAGTGGTTACAATCATCCGGGTTTAAATCGCGCTCAAATTGATTTGATATTGACGCAATATTTACACTGAAGCTCGCAGGCGGCTATGGTAAGGAGCGTGACATTTTCCGACCAGGCACCGAGTGGTGCCAATCACAACACACACTGGCCCAGCTAACCAATCAAAGCACATTTCGTATTTCAGAAGGCGGGCCTTCATTTGATACAGGAACTATTCGAGCCGTTCATGCCAGACTGGGGAGAGAGGTGTTGTAATAAGGTAAAATATGAGAAAAATAATGTGTTTTTCGAACAACCTAGTATGAGAGCCTGTTCTAGTACACCCCCAAAACAAAATCAAGACTTTGTAAAAGAGCATAATAGGACCCCTTTAACCGAGAAATTAGCTTAGCTGAACAAAACATCATATGGTGTGACACTGTATCATATGGTGTGACCGTTTTCCAAGTGTTCAGCGTGCAGGTTTCACTCTCCCTCTAGTCGTCGTCACTGCCCAGTGTGATGCTCCACTCAATAATCCGCTCTTTGAATGTGCATTTCGCTCATGTATCGCTCATGTTCACCGGAAAAGCAAAGTCTGCTCAAATAATGCGCCGGCAGGAAATTTCTATGTAGTATTCTTGTTTCTGTTTGCAATAGCGTTACTCTGCTGTTACATGTGGTGCTTTTCCACTGCATGGTACGACTCGTCTCGGCTCAGTACGGCACGGCAAGGCTCGGTTTGCGTTTCCACTGCAGTTTAGTACCGCTTTAGAGTGGGCGGGGCTATTCATATGTCATTATAGTTGCGCCGCCTCTACTGCCGCGACTCCTGAAAAACGTTTTCATTCCGCGTCGCCCCATCAAGCTCTCGCTGGATCCGCTCCTTGGCTATCAACGAGAGGAACGTCTGTACTTCCTCAGCAGACAATGAAACAGCCATTTTTTTGGTTGTTAAAAAAAGGTGCGCTCGTTCAAAACAGTTGCGTTTGATCCTATGCTGGCTGTGCTGATTTAAATCTAGCGGTTCTCTTGTGTCTCGTGTCGCAAGCTCAGTGACGCAGGTAGTGGCGATTCTCTCCGGCCAATCAGTGATCAGCAGAGTTTACACGTCACGTTTTGGTAATGGTACGGCTCGCTTGGAACCTCAGCCTCAGAGGTGGTACTGAAAAAAGTACCAGGTACCAGGTACTGTACCCAGTGGAAAACCCCCCAAAAGTGAAACGTACCGAACCGTACCGTGCCGTACCATGCAGTGGAAAAGCGCCAATGGTGTAGTACAGCTGTACTGGGCAACTCTGGTAAAATGAAGCTCCCCTCTCATTCACTGATCTGCTCCCCGCTATGCTCTGCTCACATGCTCTAAAAATACTGAATAAAAATAATATATTGATATTTAATATTTATATATTTTCTGTCCAATTTTTTGTTACTTTCAATAAAAGTGTGGTTATTTCATTGACTTGTGTTTTTAAAATTCAGTATCAATAAAATTAGAGTTAAATTAAAAAGTCTTACAACATTAATTTATATTATTTAATAAAATAATAATTATTACAAAGCATTTTCAGTTTTCGGCCAAGTGCATCCAGAATTTTCGGTTTCCGTTTCCGTCAAGAATTTTTATTTTGGTACATCCCTATTACATACACCTTTTAAAATGATAAATAAATAAATATTCAAAACGTATTGAAAGAGTTTAATGGTGAACATTAAATTCCCCATACAATTAATGTATTCCTTTTCAATTTTATACTTAACTTAACCATGTTTCACCAGGTTTGCCATGCTTTGCATATTAAAAAATGCAGTTTTCTGTGTGTCAGGCAGAAATGTCAAGTAAAGAGAGGACACAAAAATACAGGGAAAGACTCATTGCTGACCATGCAATGTTCATGTTGAAGGTTCTTGATGTGAGATGCTTGATTTACTCATATTTCTGAGTTTCATAACATTTTTAACATTTTAAAAAGATGTTAGTATGTTTGATGATTTTTAGTCTTTTTAATATTAATTGAATTTAATTAATTGAATGTTGAATGCATATAAAATACACTTTTTGCATTGACAAATTGTGGTGTGGTGCAGTTCATCATATAGTGTGACACTATATCATTTGGTGTGACAATCAGAATTGTGACAATAAAAATACTTTTTTTAGTTATAAATCATAAAAAAATCAATGGAATAAAAGAGAAATAGTATCAGCAAGAGTTACAAGCATTTTGTTAGATTTATAACAGGGTTTGTCAGAATTAACCTAAAAGTATCTGGAAAGGCTGAGGAGAGATGTCTTACTTTGCATGATGAGTTAGAAAAATAATACAAAATCTAATGGATCTGCACAAAAAAAAAGTAAACTCTTAAGATAGTAATGATAAAGATTTATGATGAAGTTAGTTACTTAGGTAGAGTTTATCCCATTTTCATTTTATATAGAATAACGTTTATGTCACACCATGTGAAAATTTTAGGCACGAATGCAACAAAGTGGTGAATAAATCCAATTTCCAATACAAAATCTAAAAGACCACATATATTTTTGGAAATTCAAGAGTCAGTACAACGCAACTCATTATATGTTATGCCTAATATTTGAAGTAAAAAAAAAAAACAGTTTTCAGGCTTATATGTCAACCACCCACATGGTCCTTCAAGGCTGCCATTGCCTGCCACTTCCACGGAACTCCGACCAACTTTGATGGACGTTATTGACATCTCCTGATCCAAGAAAGTTTGCGAGGCTAAGAAAGTTTAAGCAGCCCTTAAACCTATACCACTATTCTCCTCAGTACAGAGAAGTCAGAATTCATCCATTTGCCACCCACTCATCAACCCAAACCAGCAGTCATCAGAGGTGGAAAGATGAAAGCCTTCTGTCCATTCTGTGACCATAAAAAAGCACTATCTGAGTAGCTGCAATAACTTTAAACAGCTCAGTAAGGGGAAAAAAAGTGGAGTGGATAAAGAGCAAAAAAGATCTTGGCACTGCAGTCATGTTGACAAAGCTGCTCAATGTACATTGAAGACTCTCTCTCAGACCTGTAACAGGAAGCACATCCTCATCCTGCATGATGTAAATGACCAGGGTAAAGCCATTGAATAATCTCCATGAACAAATGCAGTTCTGTATGTTGACCACCCAATCTATAACAGCAATGTATTTTTGATGGTGAGCAAAGTCTTACTCCACAATGGAGATTGATTGAGGCCTACGCTGTCCTAGATGATGGGTCAGAGCAAACCATTATCTTTCAGGAAGCAGTGCAGAGACTAAGACTGGAGGGAACACCAGAGGACTTAGTGCTCTGCACAGTGAGACAGGACACACAGACCATTCAGAAGGCTGCTGTCACTTTCACTACATCACCAGCCGCTCACCCTGGTAAGAGGTACATGATTCATAGTGCCTTCACTGCTAAAGCCTTGGGACTGGCCGAACATACTCAGCCAGTAAGTGCCACTTATATTGGTTTGTGTACAATAATTTCTCTGCAGTAAAGCCATTTCAGGTTTTTCTGATGATATTCTGTTTTTGTTTTATGCCTGCTGCAATCATGAGTGAAACATCACATCATCATTGTGTATAAGTGCCAACCTTGAAGAATAAAGGTCAATTGCACTTATTGAGTCATCAGATATTTAATTATTGTTGCGCATGAAAAATATACTTACACTATTACATACCTTGGGTTGCTAGCAACCCTATACATTTTTACAAAAAATTAATTCGAAAAAAACAGAGCTGAAGAAGACATTTTTTATATATTTTTCCTTGTTATATTGTTTACAATTAATAGACTGAGGAATACTAAGAAGGTTGATGTCTAAATTTTAAAAAAATTAACGAGGGGGAGGGTAGTGAATAACGTCCCGGGTCGCTAAAGACCCAAGGTATGAGTTTAAGGGTTAAAGCAAGGAAAAGTACTCTTTTAGATAAACAAGTCAACATAATGGATGACAGTTGTGGAAGTAGAGAAACAATGACCTGCGGGAATCCTTGTAAATATTTAAATTCAAATGAAAGGCACAAGAGTCTGCTGTTTCTGTCAATGGTAAGTTTTAATTTAAAATCTTTGTTATCCCTACTACCTTTTAATGTAAGAAAGGCAGGCTTTAGGCTGTTTTTAAATTTTTTGCAAAATGCTTAAGAATCTTGAAGAAGATGGAGACACAGCCAACCACTTCTTAAAACACATCATCAGACCCTACTTACCCAGCCAACAGACTCGTTATTTAAGACATACTGCTGCTGCACAAATAGCATATAAAATAACCCCCCAACAAAGCTGAAACGAGAAGATAAACAAAACGGCTAAAATGTGTATGCTGCTGACAGCATGAAAACGTACTGCTGATATAATAATGTGCTTGAAAGCATCCCCAGAAGGCAGGAGAGAGATGAAATGATAAAGGTCATGAAATGATGTTTTAGCAGGTATTGAAACTGGAATCAAGGAATGTGATTTTTTTTACTATTCATCTAAAATTTTGGTGTCATAAATGCCTGTTTTTTTGTTTTTTTCTGTGGATGGTAAAAAAATGATATTGCTGGCCGGTAAATTTCCTTAAGTCACCGGCCATTGGCAGGTCTGGCAAAAAGTTTACTCCTGCTTACTACTCTCTCGAATACCTGTGCGTAGTTTTATGACTATATGTTTGCAAGTTTAGAAATGTAAAGCTGATGAACACGAATAATACACTGAAATGAGAAGACCGTTCACTTATCTGACTGTTGAGATTCAGAAGAACTCTGAAAGCACACTGCAATGCTAAAGCCACTAGAAGGCAAGCCTGCAACCTTTAGCCAAAAAAGCATAACGGCTAATCCTAACGCTTCCGCTTTGGCAGTACGTGGGAAATGAGACCAGAGGCCTTTTTTTTTTTTTTT